TTTTTTTTTTTTTTTTTTTTAACAGCCGAAGGAAAAGGGCAGTGTTGGAGAAGAGGGGTGAAGAGGTGCCTGCCTGGTGCCTAGGGCGCACAAAGACACGCGGAGTGGACATGGCTTATTCCTAACGCTGCTGCGGCCCCTCCGTGCTCCACAGCGGGTGAGCCAGGCAAATACAGCCCCCAGCTGCCCCCGTGTTACACACCCCCAGGGTCTGCAAGCTGGGACATGCCGGGTTTACCTGGAGAAGGAAGCACCTGCTCACTCAGGGGCTGCCCATCTAGTGTTTTAATGAGGTTTTTGTCATTCAGTATCCAACGGGGTGGGGTGGGGGGAGACACCGTATACATGCATGAATTTACCAATGGTGTTTAAATACCTGTAGTTCATTTCTTCTTATATATAAGTATGTACATATTCTTTCTCTTTAAAAAATTAAGTTTGTATGTTTCTACTCCCGTCCCAATTCCTCTGAGTCACAATGAAGTCTGCAAAAACAGGGGGGCTGGGGAGGGGGCTGCTGTAAGGCCTGCCCCAACCATCGCCTGGGAGGTCCCATGGAAAGGAGAGGACAACCTGAGAGAGGAGGTGGGAGAAACACGGACTCCTACACGCACAACTGTTCCCTGCTACTGAGGGATGGGGAGGAGGAAAGGGTTACCTGCCTGCAGCAGGAAATAGAAAGGTGGCCCTCTGAGGTTGCAGCTCTTCCTACCTCACCAGTTCAAGAGAGCCCAAGAATGAACCCAGGGGTCCCACAGGCAAAGTAATACTATTTACAAGATGAGGGATGGGGGGGGGGAATAAACAAACAAACAAACAAACAAAAAAACCCCACACAACAAAACCAACAACTATTCTCATTTTGACCAGGAATGTTGGGTTGGAGTGGACAAAATGTACGTAAAGAGGATAGGTAGGTCCAAATGATTTTTTCAAGCTTTATCTTAAACAAATAACTTGTCTTAATACAGATATCTGGTTGTGCCTATGCTAACACCCACACAAACCAGTAAGAGGGATAGACCCACGTTTTATTACCTCCTCCCACAAGCCTCTTCACTTCCCAGGCAGTTACCATTCCGTATTTCTCTACATGGCCCAATGGACAGCCTGTGGTAAAACATATTCACAAGGTGCAACAAAACGTAACGCATTTACGCTCTCTTTGTTCTGTAAACTAGAATTTTTAGGAATATTTCCTACTGCCAGCAATAGGAAGTTAGCAGGGAAGAATCAGTTGGATCAGTCTCAAATTATAAGGAGCAACACTATCTCCTCACCCCTCTCAGCAACAATCTTGTAGCACCAGCACCTCCTCTACTGCGCTTCTACTACTCAGTTCGCAACATTCAAGCCTTGGGCAAACAGCTCACAACTTTGCTGTTTAAGAAATAGTTACTTAGAGGACAGCAAGCAAAGAAACAAGAGGCCCTACAGGACATATTTTTTCAAAAAAACCCCTTCCAATTCGTTCTTCAATTACAGACCACCATCTCAGTCCTAAATTTACTTTCCTGAAGCCTTTCTGTACTTACCTTTCACAGGTATTGGCCAAACAGTGTTCCTCAGGCCAAGACCACATCTACCTCTACTCTGTTTTCCTAAGTGTCCTACATAAACTATTCTAATTTATTTGAAACTACACAACCATCCTCCAGCTGATCTACTTGCCCAACACTTCTCTTACCATCATTCTGATCAGATTTTACCTCTGGTTTCCCCTATGCAGCCCTGACCCAAAGCAAAATTCATTCCAGGAAGCAAAACCCACTCTGATCAGCTTAAAAATCAGATTTGCTTCACATGACTCGTTTCCGAGGAGCTCTGTTTCATATCTCTATGCCAGCTTCACTGGTTGTTGCTCTTTACCTTAATGGATATTTCAATCTTGCCACTGGCTCTTCCGTATCATCTCTGACCCTTTTTGTCACTACCTCAAAGTTTAAATAATAAAATGGAATAAAATTGCACAGGGAAGTAATATAAAGGACCCTCAAACCCTTATCGACAGTACCAAAAGATACCTGGGTTGAAGGGACTGCTATTTTACCTGAGTGTCTTGTGGTCCCAGTACAGCAAGAAATTTCCTGTATACTAGGACATATGTTCACAGTCTGAAAGTGGAGGAACTAATCACCTCAAAAGCAAGCTTGACTGACACCAACTCCATCAAAGACCCAACACGACTGCCATCATACGTTCCACTCGCAGCATCTCTGGCACGCCTTTTCACTCAAGAAAACTGCCAGAAATTTCCTCTCTGGTTTTCAACTTGCCTTCCTTTGCAAACCCTGCCTGTGCAAGAGAAGCTGCCCATGGGACTGAGCACACCAGCTGATTCAGCACAGTGCAATGCCAAGACAGGACTAGAAAATAACACTTTTAAAGTTTCAGTACAAGCCTCGGGAAGGAAAGGTTTGCAAGGACACCTGAAATGTGACTGGGCAGACTTAAATTACAGGCAGAAGCAGCTGGAAAGCTCTTGAAGTGCTCCCCATACTGCCAAGCCCTGAAGCACTCGGCAGTGGTGATCGGCCAGCTGACCTCTTAAGGGGAGAGCAAGAACTGCAGATTACTCAGCCCCGGAGTTACCTGGAAGAAATAGGTCATCCTACACCAGTCTGGTCAGCCCAGTAGAAAAAAGGCTGCACTGCAGATCTCCAGTCACAGAAAGACAGAGAAGTCAACAGACCACACTTCGGAGTGCCACAGGGTTTCAGAGAGATGACAGCCAGGACAGTAAAATGAAAGAAAATTGCTTCAAGCCTGTAACCTACGAAACCAAGTGATGTAGTGTGGCTGCCTCTGAGTGACTTCCACAGATGCTAGCAGTCTCTCTCCCGCCAAAAGCTTGTTGCTTGCATTAGTTTCATAAACTGGGATTATACTGCTCTGCCTTAAAATAAATACAAGACAGACTGGAGATGGAGGAAGCAACAAAGCATTCTGTCTATCTGTCCCTGTTGTGGATAGGAGTGGGGGTACAGGGGAAAGTGCTAAAGAATGTCATTGGTTTGAATTTTTTTTTTTCTTAGCTTATCATTGACCAAAAAAACCATCACTGGACAGTTTTAAGCCACAACAAACACAAGTTAGCATGGGCTTAGAGAAGCTCCACAGGGCGAGAAGCGTATTGCACACACAAATGCAAGAAGGGAAGATTTTCTGTTTCTCAGACCAGGAACTCATAAAAGCAAAGAGTCTGGGGGCAAGGGAAATGGTGGTAATTGTATCCCAAAATATCTTGTTCAAAATTCTTGGGAAACCATTTTCTGTGGGTAGCTGAAACAGCTTTACAAAAGGTAAGAGAATCCCAGCTTTCTTGGGATGTAAATATTCTGTTTTTCTGAAAAAGCAAGAAGAAAACATTTTCCTATCACAGCGAAATGAACAAATGATATGGATGAGCCATTGCACCAAAAGACCTCCCAAATCCAGAGTTACACTGTAAGAGATGGAAAACAGCTTTTCCATGGTCACTTCTCAACAAACAAGTCATCATCCCAAGTTCCCCAGTTATAACATCAAAGACAATCCAACTCCTAATCATGAAAGGTGGCTGAAACAAACTTTCATATTTGTATCTAAATCCCCTTTATAAAATGTCTGCAGAAAACCCAGTCTGAAGTATCAGTATAACGTCAAATTTCAGATTAAAAATACCACTGCTTAATTCATTAAGTGACCTCCAAAACATGGTCCAAGGGTTGCAGAGCCTTCCCTTGGAGGTCAATGCAGATAAAATACAGTGTGGGACTGTCTTGAAACAAGAGAAAAGCAGACGGGGTCGTCATGACAACAGTAGAATTACTCCAGGTAACAAAACTAAGGCAGGAAAAGAAAGAACAGCAAGACAAGATTTAAGCAGAAAACAGTTCATTAATTGCACAGACACTCCAGCCTGTCTCCCTGTTGGGGGTTTATAATACAGAGATTGTTTCTCGCTGGGATATGGCAAAGGGATTGACAGTTTTTGTTAAAGGACAAAGATAATAGCCACAAATGTGACATAGAGCAACAGTCAGAAAAATAAATTAATAAATAAACCCATAAAAAGTCTGCTTCTTGATTCCCATGAAGCCTTGGAGAAGAAGGGATAGGTTTCACTTGAACTCCTTTGTTTTTAGTCAGCAGTTCAGAATTTCTTGGATAAACCAGATTTTCGTTGTTTCTTTAGGTGCCAAACACTCTGACCTCCTTGGCTATGAAGAAATTTCAAGGCAATTTCTCCAAACTCCTCTTTCCAGACTTTGTCCAGAGACAGGAAGTTGAAGACCACTGGGGAAAAAAATATTAAAATTGTGGCCAGCACATTGCTAAGAATTAGAGCAAGTCAGTTGTAGGGGCATGAGGAAATAAATTTATAAAGGTCTCCCCACCAGCCCTAGACCAGTGCGATGATAGCATCAGTCTGAAGCTCTCTGTGGTCCTCTTCTTGGGATTATTTCCGTGTATTCACAAACACCTGAAAGCCACCCCTCTTAGA